CTCCCATCTAGTGTTAGGGAAAAACAAAATCCAATCATTTTTAAGAAAGCTATAAAACAGAAATTGTTGTATTGAAAGTATTACACATGTTGTTATATTTGTTTTGAGTGATGAGGTGTTTTGTAGACTGCACTTGCTTATTTGGATGTATTAAGTGGCTGGTGTTATGAGGCTTTTATAGCTTTTAAAACTCTATGGAAATGAATATGTACTTAATTATATGTATTGTTAACAGTATGTTTGTATTTTGATTTTATGGACCCCAGGAAGACTAGCAACCACTGCTGTGGAAGCTAATGGGGATCCGAATAAAACAATAAACAGTAAACACTTTCTCTTGGGTGATAATAATATGATGACAATAAAAATTACTAATAAATTATCTCTAACAGTAGAGTTCTGTCTGATACACCTAGTCACAATCTGTTGCTGATTTTATTAGCTGTACTAAATTTCGTGACCAGAACCAGGCCAGTGTTTGTACCTGCTCCTGCAGATCTGCTACTTGTTGGTTGCAGGCTTTCACCTCATCCTGGTTCGGATCTTGGGTATACGCCCTTCTTTTAGTTACCACATTAGTACAGGTCGAGGACTGTAAGGCAGAACAAACAGCACCAGAGTCAGRAACATGGTTAGAGCAATAACAATTTACCAAACAGGTCCAGTAAACWTTAAAAATCTGCCCACTTCTGYTGGAGGTTTCTTCATGGTTTTGGTGCTGGAGTCGTAGTTGAGCATGTCATAAGGGTCAAGCCAGTCGTCCATTTGCTGGCACATAGCAGACAGTACGAAGCAGCACAGCAGGACAGCTAAGTGCATTCTAGCCATTATTTTCCGAAACAGAATTACAAGTACCCGTGTCTGTCAAGGGCTCCAGTCGAGTCCAGTGAAGTTATTAGTTAAGCCCCACATAAAGCAAAGAGAAAGTACAAGAACATGCAGTCTGAGGGGGCTACGTCAAAATTTCCATGGCCCAGATTCTCTTTGATGCGCCCTTTTTAAATTTAAACATTTCACCTTTAATACTGAAAGTAAAAATTAACACCCGTAACCGATTTTAGCAGACAYACAGCAGCTACATATCGCTAACAGCTATGCTAGTTAGCTAACTTCCGTCAACTGTACAGATGCCGAAAAGGCTTATGGGAAAAGTAGTTTTTTGTCGCAATGAATGATTTTTAGTTTTCAACAAGCACTTTCAGCAAAAAGGTTTAGATTTCAGATGGTGCAACAGCAGTAAATATATGCTTATACTTATTTACATTTCGAGTACATACTACAAGAATAAACTGCCAGAGACCACATCTGAATATTTAAATACTTTTGTTTTATTTTATAATAAACCAAGTATCACAAAACCTATACCTCGTTTGAGATMAAGTACGCTCATSTTGTCTGTTTTGTYCGTTCATTTTTGTATAAAGAAGAYACTACCGAAAATAAGAATAACCCKTGAATTTTCTTTAAATTTTTGTTATAAGGTGTAGTATAAATCACTACATATTGGTGGCCAATCAGGTCCCACCTACACATTATTGGTGGCCTGAAAATGGCTCTTAGATGTAGTCTTTACACTTACAAAATGGACAAAAAAGCTTCAACCAATTAGAAGAAAACATTTATTTCAAAATGTATGTATTTACAAAATGTTAACACATTTATTMTTAATAGCACTGAAATACAGTTCATCTGCATCTTTAAAAAGAYGTACAAGTACAATCAGCGTTTTTAAACTCAGCAGAAGTTCAGTTTCCAGGGATGAGATAAACTTAGGTCACATTGATTTTTGTGAACTATGTTGATTTTTTTGTCCATAGCAAAAGAACATCTGAGCTCACAAAGATCACTGCATGTGCAACATAGAAGATACGAGAAGAAACAGCCAAAAACTTTTATGTGTTCATTCTTATTTTCCTCTCTTGGCTTTRCCACCCCTCTGTCCTCCTTTACCACCCTTGGCCTGTTTTCCTCTTCCTTTCCCTCCTTTGGTGCGTTGTTCTTTCCTCTGCATTCCCCGCATGTCTTTCTTCATGCGACTGTCCACCACTTTGAAGACTCCCTTGACGCCACTAGGCCGTCTCACCTTCTTGCCGGCTCCCTTCTTGGCTATTACATACGTCACTTCTCTCTTTTCCTTTTTCACACCGGCTTTCTTGTAAATACTGACAAAAAAGAAGAAGAAAAATAATCTCGTTAGAATTTTATTTTTACTGAAAATAGGATTGGTACAAAAATAAATTCCTTCAATTCTGTTGCTGTGAAAAACAAAAAACCTCTTCAGCTGAGCGATTTTCTCTCTTTCAGAAATGTCCACGGTATTGACAACAGCTTCTGCTTTCTTCTTGGCTTGCTCCATCTTCTTCAGCATCTAGAAAAGCCCCACAGAAAACAACGATTCAACGTTTGATCATTCCAAAAAGATCTCTATGTCTAGTAAYAATGTAGTTCCAACTTTACAGAGGTGTCCGAGCATAATAATCTAACTTTCATCCTACCCTCCTCTTCTTCCTAGCTTTGGCTTCAGCGACCCGTTTGATTGGCCGGGCATTGATCTCTTTCCACTTCTGTTTGTACTCCTCCACCATCTCTTTAGTGACTGGCACGGGCTTCGTTCTGTGTTTACGTTCATCATCCAGGAACCACTCGGGTACTTCCCACGGCTCATCAGAGCYGGCAAACCTATAAGAGCAACCAATCAGCTTTCTGTGCAAATACATCGTTTTTAAAGCCACCCGGAGCAACAATACTGCATTTTGAATCAACCGTTCTTGGTCTGGCTGGTGTATTCATAGTTTAGTGACTTCTCATAAGAATCCATACAGTATGTCAAACTTCATCAGCATTCGGTTTGACTTCTTAAACAATACACACAGACCTGTGGAAGGAACTATCCACCAGGTCTCTTGCTTTTTTCTTRGATGTAGCGATCTCACAGCCTAGAGCCAGGCCTTCAGCATCCAGGATCCTTGCTTTCTTACCTGAAGAACACAARCAAAAACATAAACACCCATAATTACACACCACAGGGACCAGAAAAATGAATAATGCTGTCAGTAGTTACTGAACTGACAATTAAATGTCCTAATATAGTTTTAAGATGGTAAACAGCTCTGGTAAGCAGATCTTCAGACATTTCATGGTTGGCTTCAAGATAATCTTTTGTCAATTAATGTTAAAAAAAACTGTGTGCATGTATTTTTCCTCACCCAGGAGACATTTCAATATAACAAATCTACTCACTTTTTTAAACAAACCCCTTGATATTGTCACTAAYTACAAATATCTTGGAATTACTTGGGATTCTCATTTGACTTATCGTGATCATGTACAAGTCTTTACCACTAAGTTGAAAAAGAAATTATACATTTATTCAAAAATTAGATCCAATCTGACATCTTTTGTTTCAAATATCTATCTTCATGCCATTATACTCTCAACCATGTCGTACTGTTTACCTGTTTGGTCTCTTACAACAAATGAAATCTTAGAAMCCATAGTTAGGCTCTACAACAGGGCCTACAAAATTCATAAAAAACTTCCTGGTTGGACTCATCACTGTACAGTTCTTTCATTGTCTGATGCCTTGACTTTTCAGAAYTATGTTTTGTATAGTGGTATTAAGTTATATTTTCAGATCTTCCAAGGTGCMAATTATGGAACTCTCTGTGCATTGTTGCCCAAATCAAATTCTGGAAGTGGTCATTCAACTAGATCTGTTACAAAAGGACAACTGATATTAACAACTTTTAAAAACTGTTACAGCCAGAGGTCTTTCTTCTATGTTTATACTAAAGCATGGAATGACATTCCTCAAAACATAAAGTCCATATCAAAACTACAGCCCTTTAAGAAGAATCTTGTCTGCCATCTGCTGGACACTTTTTGTTGTGCTCATATTTAGATGTCTTATTTTGCAAATGCTGCCTTTTTGAAATTTGGTATGCTTGTTTGTCTTTGTGTTTATGGTGTATAATGATGTGATTGTGATGCCGTAATTCTGAGTGTTTTATGTGCTGCAGAACAGGAACCTGCTGTAAAACAGCAATTATGCTGAGTCAGGCTTGATTTTTAATAATCTTTTCCTGTTGAATCAATAAATCAAATCAAATCAAACCTGAAAGGATACTGAAAGGACAGTAAGAGTAAATTTAATAGCCTTAAGCAAACTAAATGACAGAGTGTGAGCAAAGTTTTCTGATACTTACTGGTACTTTCAACAGGAACAACCTTGAAGCCATCATCATCAGCCTCGATCGATGCTCCTTTAGCTCGTTTCATCTTTGTAATCTCCCTGAAAACAATCAAAAGTAACAGATGTGTTCGTATACATTTTTTTTAAACTAGGATTCATATTAACGAGCATTAATCCATTAAAATCAAATTTCTTTCCATTTGTTATATACATTTTGGGCATAAAATACCAGAGAGCAACATTTACATTTCATCATCACTACTGTCATCTGAGTCGCTGTCACTTTCCTCCACAGCTTCCTGTGAAGGTCCTGCCTGTTCTTCATCAGGAKGAGGAGCAGCTTCGTTCTCTTCTTCCTTTTTGTTGTCGTCTTCTTCTTCATACTTTCTTTTTTTGCCTTTTTCTACAAAAACATTTTAATGTGTTACCCTGATTTGAGTTAAGTTCGTTTACAATAAATACAGCTTCTTTGTTAATGAAGGAGGACAGAGAGTTTACCTGACTTTTTGGTTTGGAGCCATTCAGTCTGTCGGAGCTCGCCCTCTGCATCCCCATCCAGGTCAATTTCTGAAAAGATGTCCTAAAAAACGAAGAGGTAAAAGCTTTTTTCTCCATAGTCTAATCAGAAGTATTACATCAAACCTCTGAACTATCAAAAGAACACAAGGTGGAACACCAGAGGAACATTTAAATTTGTTTAAAAAGCAGGTGAATGAACAAACCTTGCTGAACCAAAGGTTCGTCTCTCGCTCCTTCTTCTCATCCTTTCCCTCCAGTTCCACCAGTAACCCACTCTCCTCCTCCTCCTCATTGTCTTCTTCCTGTGTGAACTTCACTCTGGAGATTATGAAAAAAAAAAAACATAACACTGACTTGGGATTTGTTTAAAGCTGCAGATAATAAAAATATCGGTACAATAAAAACAGTTGTAATACCACATTATTACTCAGCTCAGTCATTATTATTAAAGTGCAACACTGAAAGTGTGTTTAATCTAATATTAACTTTTTTTCATGTTATTTTGAAATTCTGTGCAAGTAGCAGTAGAAGTAGTAATGATCTCGATAAACTCTGTAGTGATATATAAAAACAAAAAATAAAAACAACAACCATGATATGTTTGTAACAACACACTGCACACACTTTGATGATTGTATTTGTTTCCTGCTGGCTGTGWCACAARTTGCCCCATGGGGATATTAAAGATAACTTGAACTTTATTAAAACTATAAAATTGTGGACTCAAATTAAAACGTTTAAATACCAGTTTATTTTCACAGGGGTATATAAAACAAGATAAAAAGAGTTGAATGAATGAATGAATGAATGAATGAATGAATGAATGAATGAATGAATGAA